TTAATATGACTACATTCTTTATAACATGATTCTGAGTTTTGCTGGGTCCATTTTTCATCCAAAAACCATCTTTCTAAATAACCCAGGTACAATTTTTGGAAGAGAGGATATTCAGGTGAATTGTGAAGAATTTTTGTCGGTGATTCCACCTTATGTCATATAAACCGGTCAGAGTTTTGAATCATAAATTTGAGACCAGGCCTGTCTGCCTTCATTAAGGATGTTTCAATAGGAAATCACAAAATGTTCCTCAAAAAAGTTTGTCATACAGGAAATGGCAAGTTGGTTCTGACAATATTTTTATAACATGTACCCTAAAGGATTTCTACCGGGACTTGGAAAAAGTTTGTTGTATTGATAATTTTGTTGTAACGGTATTTGTTGTAAATATATTTAACAAATATTGGGCATCTAATGAAGGACAGGATAATGCCTTGAAATTAAAAGTGTTTCTTACATTTACTATAGAAAAAAATAACAAAAGTTTACTGTTGAGCAAATCAAACATCTCTCAGCATCTTGTCCTTTTTTCCAAAAATTCAATTGGATATTTAGAAATGGGAATGCCTGAAAATGTGCAAACTATTAACATGTTTTTAAACTTATTGATTTAGAGAAACTGGTCAAATTCCTATATTCGAATATTCAAGAAAAATCCGTCGGAATTTTGTTGAGAAGTAGACATTCCGTCGTGAGGCAATACTATAAATACCTGGAATGATAAATTGCGTCACACCGAAAAGAAAGTGGAAGAAGTTCTGTTTTTAAAAATCAAGTTTTGGGAGAAAAAAATGGGGAAGGGAAATGATTGATTTTTCCTTCTCACCGTCAACGTCGATTTCCGAAATGATGCCACGCAGTTCCTTGTGTGAAAACTGAAGCCCCATCATTCCAAGAATGTTCCCGACCATTTCTGAAGAAATGTAACCCTTCTTTTCCCGGTCGAAGGTATCGAAACATTTCTTCAACACTGTCAACATTTTTTTTTTCAAATAAAAAATAGGAATTTCAGCTTCACTTATTATTTTTCCTTTTTTTGCGGCTTGATTTCGAGAAGAATTTGGCTTACTGAGCAGCTGTTCGCGATCCATGTCGACTTCGATCCCTTCCTGCAAATATTTTCAAATGATTTACGACAAATTTTTGTTGTAGAAACTGTGTTCAATACTCACGAACTCGTCCTTCGGCATTTTGAAGACCTGGATTTTTTTCACTTTAAGGGAAGAAAAATGATACGATGAACCGGAAATAAAATCTAGAAAGTTTGAATGAATCATGCAATTTTTGAAGTTGGGAATAAAAAACTTCGGTTTCTTGAAAACACCCTTGTTTGATGCGTAAATTAAAAAAAAACTGTTCTGCAAGATTTTCAAACCACGGGTTTTCTTATAACAGTTTCAAGATTTTTTCATTTACGTATTTCAAAATACTTTTCAAGTAGAGAAAATTCCCCAAATTCAGTGAAATCTTACCATAGCGAATTGCTTCTAGCGAATAATTTTTATTTTGAATATTTTAACGCTCAAAATTCAAATCTTTTACAAAATTCGCGTTCAAGATATTTCATTTACGGATTAACCGAGCTTATTTTCCTAGTTCCAATGATTTCTTTTTTGCGTTTCTAGTCTTCCAAAAAAGCTTAAATCTGCTGAAATACGTCAGGTAGAGTATAATTTTGTTTGAACGAATTATTCCTTGCGAAGATTTTTCATTTTCCATTTTTTGCGCCAATTTTTGATATATCTTCCGTAATTTTCAGCAGTTTTAGCCAAGCCTTTCACCCGCAGTATGAATGATTTTTTTGCACTTTATTGAGGTTTTATTCTATTTCAAGGCTTTTAAAATGTTTTAATCATC